TAGGTATCTGGCTAAATTGTATCTATGCAATATTTGCATGTCTGGCACTAGCAAATGTGGGGCTGCTCTGAAACAGCACATAATCTCTAATGGGAGCTAAGAGTTTCAATCTCTAATTAGCTGAAAGCTGAAGTACAATTTTATGTGGGGCTGCCCAGGTTGCTGAGATGTGTACTATCTGGTTTTGATAGTCTGTTTAGTTCTAGGAGGCTCTGTCTGTACATAGAAGAAATGTTACTTTCCATTCCTCTTGTATCAAAAACAAACACTAAACTATAGTTTTGACACTGTAATTTCTTGCACCCATGGAAGGTGGACCATCTAAATAATAAAACTAGGCCAAATGCTGTTTTCTGTCATAATGTTGTATATAGCATTCCCTTTATAAAACTGGGCTGTTGCTTCCCCAACCTGTCCTAGTGCAGAAAGTTGTTCCCATTTTTTCACTTCTTTACTTTTGTGAATAAATGAATAGATCTACACTTGTGGGGGTGGGGGACTGGCCCATAAATGCACCCGCTACAGTACTTCAATTAGCTGTTAAGCATCTTTCCTTAAATTAGAGACAGCTTAGAGCCATGATTTGTATCTATGCAATATTTGCATGTCTTGAGGGGACAAGATTGAGTGGGTTTCAGAATGTTCCAGTAATCTACGCAAAAAAAGAGAGAGACTGTATTAACATTAGAAACCATCTGGTAAAGTAATTAAAAGATTTAAATATGGGAGGGTTAAGAGAAATTGCTACATTTTTAATTAGAGATTAAACAGTTTTGTGACTAGGGATGATTGTTAACCTTGGTTACATTTAAAATAAACTGAAAATTGTAATTACCCAAAGCATTTTGTGTTGCCCTTCTCAGAATATTTTCAGGTGAGAACAACTGTAGGCATTTTTATGATCTATTCACTCATCACAACAGAGTTGTTTCCAATATTTTTAATTTACTCTTGTGTACATATATCTTCTCCCCACAGAGCGCTTGGTACTCATCCAACATTAGGTCAGGGGTGTTTAAGACACTTGTGAAGGGGAATGTGACTTTTTTTTTAAAAAAAAAGTACTGAAATATTGTTCATGGGCATTGTTGTATGAACAATAGCAATAGAAAATCAGAGGGATGAGCTTTTGAAACTGTGGTTATTTCACTGAATGCAACTGCTAAGAACCAGTCTGTGGAAATAGTAGTTTTTGTGGTTTAAATGCATATGTCATCTTTAAATAATTATGGTCCCCTTGAAGGAGAAAATAGAGAAAATACATTTTCATCATAAGAAGAGGGAGAATATTTTATAAGATAAAAGAGGCAATTACAAACTTTATAATTAAATATTTCTTTTTAAACAAATCATTATCTGAAAACCTCATTCATTTAATTACAACAAATATGACAGGTGCAGATGTGTTTACAGTGACACATTCACAATAGTGTATTCTTCGAAACAAGAGAGGAAGACCCAACTCTCCCTCCTTCCTCATGCAAGGAGGATTTTCCAGTAGAAGAACTCTTTTAACTTTTGGATCCAACCCACTAAATTTATATTTTCAGACTAAAATTACTGTGAGGCCACATCTTCATAACAAAGAACTGCTGGAGTAGCTGTGATTTTTAGGTATCTGGCTAAAATGCATGTCTGGCTCTAGCAAATAGATAGATGTGGGACCAGAGGTTGGGAGTTTGATTTCTAAGAGGCTACATCTGGCCCCCAATAGCAGCCATTAAACTTTTGGGACTTTCATATAAACATGTAATTTTGGAGCTACCCACAAGAACTTGGTGCACAGCCTGAGGAAGATGAATTATCATTGAAAACATGTTTTATTGTTTTATTTTCTTAATGGCCCAATAAAGGTATAACCTGTTCCTGCATTTGTACTGATTTCCTACTGTGTGTCCTTGACAGTAACTGGACTTGATGATCCATAGGATCATCTGTAGTTCTGAGATAGGCGTCAACCTATTGATTGGTTATGCCAGCATAAATGCAGTGGCATAAACTGCAGCTGCAAACTGTCACTTGTTCACAAGTTGCCACTAGTGTCCCTTCTTGCTTGCCATTCAAGTGAACTGGCGTGCAGTAAGGAAATAAGCAGCAACTTGCTAACTATGGGAATTTACTGCTACGATTTATGCTATTGCATTCATGCCACTGAATCTCAACCAATAGGTTACTGGCCACTAAAATTTTAACAGAATATGGCATGCATGAACTCTAGAGCTGCTGCTGTTGCTGCAGTATGGCTTGATTGAATTGAACTCATGTCAAACATAATTGTGATAATAATAATCTAATCTACAATTGGGTAAAAGTTATTTTCCTTAGAGAAAGAATGCTGTGAGCAATCACGTCCATTTTAGATTTCTGTTTTGACTGATCACTGTGTTAATCATTTTCTATTTTATAATAACAATGAAACTTGTGACCAAGTTAGAGGTAAAAAGATGTACATAGGTATTATAAGAGTGGCTTAATATGTTTGTTTTTCTTTGCATGTTTGTGCCTTTTAAGAAAAAATAGCTATCAGTTGGTGAATAGACAAAGTTTAAAACAGAACTCATTTAGATCAATGAGGTAATTTTCAAAATGAAATTAGTAGTCTTTTTGTCATTTTGATCTGGCACTAGCTTCTCACAGCTTTTGAAATTTTTTAGAAAATTTCCAAAAGCTGTGAGAAGCTCTTTATCTATTTGCTAGTGCCAGATCAAAATGACAAAAAGAAAATTTTGTATTTAAGAAGGCACAAAGCAACATTTTCATTGCTAACATCCCGGAAATTAATTTTTGGTAAGATGCTATTAAGATGTACAGTCATGTGAAAAAGAAAGTACACCCTCTTTGAATTCTATGGTTTTATGTATCAGGACATAATAAAATTCATCTGGTCCTTAGTAGGTCTGAAAGAAGTGCCAAAGAGGAAATCCATCAGCAGTGATTGCAGAGAAGCAATTGCTGCTGCCCATCAGTCTGAGAAGGGTTATAAGGCCATTTCCAAACAATTTAAAGTGCTTGATTCGACAGTGAGGAAGATTATTCACAAGTGGAAAACATTCGAGACAGTTGCCAACCTTCACAGGAATGGATGTCCAAACAAATTCACCCCAAGGTCAGATAGTGCAATGCTCAGAGAAACTGCAAAAAACCTAAGAGTTGCATGTCAGATTCTACTGGCTTCAGATATTAAAGTTCATGATAGTACAGTTAGAAAAAGACTGAACCAGCATGGTTTGTTTGGAAAAGTTGCCAGGAGAAAGCCTCCTCTTTCTAAAAAGAATATGGCAGCGTGGCTTGGGTTTGCAAAGTTGCCTCTGGACAAAGCACAAGACTTCTGGAACAATGTCATTTGGACAGATGAGACCAAAGTGGAGATGTCTGGCCATAATGCAGAACACCATATGTGGCGAAAAACAAACACAGCATATCAGAACAAACATCTCATACCGTCAAGCATCGTGGTGGAGGGGTGATGATTTGGGCTTCTTTTTCAGCTACAGAACCTGGGCATCTTGCAGTCATTGAGTCAACCATGAACTCCTCTGTATACTAAAGTATTTTAGGAGTAAAATGTGAGGCCATCTGTCCAACAGTCAAAGCTTGACCAGTATTTTAGGAGTAAAATGTGAGGCCATCTATCCAACAGTCAAAACTTTGCTGAAATTTGGTCATGCAATATGACAGTGATCCCAATCACACCAGCAAATCTACAACAGAATGGCTGAATACGAAAAGAATCCAGGTGTTGCAATAGCCGAGTCAAAGTCCAGATCTCAACCCGATTGCAGTGCTGTGGTTGATTATTTCTCAAAAAAACCTGTTGATTATTTCTCAAAAATAGTATGTTAATAATAGTGACATAACATTTTCCCACTGAAACTAGTTTGTTTTGTCTGTTTAGCCTTTTCTCAATTTTTTTTTAAAATAGAGCATTTCATTTACTGACTTTGAAAACCATGGAGAAATTCAGTTTAAAAGTAAAATCATTTGTACTGGAAAGAAAAAAATTAGTTATTTAAACCTCATGAATAGCCCAGTAGTAAAGATAGGATGAACATTTGTTTGCTTGTTTTATATGGTTTCAAGAATAAAACAAAGAATAACAATGTTAAAAAGTCAGATTTAATAGGCCTGCAATTCCAGGTGCATGCATAGGCATATACAGAGGTATTAAGGGGTGAATCTCAGATTGTTTAGTAACGTCAGAAGATTTCTGAAAGATACAGTGCATATAGATACAGTTTCACAATACTGAGACTTGAAATTCATTGTAGCTGTTGCTTCAAAATCATTTAGGATAGTAGTTATGGAAATGATTCCATCTTTGCCCTTATTGTACAGACCTCTATATCTTATCAAGCCTTTCTGGTTTTTTTTATATTTATAGAAAGGTAACTGTAGAAAAGCTATTCAGTAAACAATACTGTACAATGGATAGAAGAACTTTACTGAAGATTGGTCTATGCGAAGTTTCTTATAGTTAACAAACTATGCAATTCTATATTCAGCTTAGTGTTCTACGAAAATAAAAGGCATGTCATTCTTAAAATCTATAAATCTATAACACCTTTTTGTCCATTAGGTCCATGTTATCATGGTCTGAATAAATCTGATGTTATAGCAATTTGAGTATATATACTCAACATCTTTCTAATCTGGTGGTTCCTGAGTTTGGGTAACCCAGATGTTCTTGAACTGAACAATCTAGTCCTAAGATTGTCTTTTTATAATATATCCCATAGTAATTAATTCTCTTGAGAAATGTTTATGTACCAGTGATTAGCATGCTGAAATGTTGGTTTTAGCAGGAAAGAGGAACTGTGATAATCAGGGTGGCAAGGATTCTCCTTTGTGTTGCAGGCCACCCCTTAGGTATAAAAGCACCTGTTCTTTGAGATTTGTTTTCATATGTAGAACTGAAATCCATTTTCTTTTTATTTGCTTTGAAATTGTTAGTTGCTATCACCTCAGAAAAAAACTCTTTGTTAATGTCATTTTCTTTTAAGAACTGCCTGAGCCTCTCTTGATTGAAGAGGAAATACAAGAAACAGAAACTTGGGCCAAGCCTCTCATCTACCTTTGGCAGAACAGAGTACCAAATTTCACTGCTGAAAAGGAGTATAATGCAGCTGTTGCCAAATTGGAACCCTATTGTGCCATATGCACACTGCTCAGACCCTACTACAAGGTAAGGAGGCATTATATAATTTAAAACACTTTCATAGATGTCATCTTTAAAGTAAATTATAAAAAATCAAATAATAAATAACAAGGTGACTGCAAACATCTGTAGAAGACTATTTAAAGACACAGTTGCAGAATTCATTCTTCATGGGTAAAGATTAATGGTTCTTTATCTAGCAAATCCAAATTGATTGTGTGACTCTAAGGAGATAGTTGGAATCATGATTTTCACTAACACAAAGCAAGGAAGTATGAATAATTCAGTCCATATTTTCAGGGAGGGTGAAACCACGTCTCATGAAGTGAACCTGCCTATTAAAGCCCCCAGCCAAAAGTACAAAAATACATTTTTATCTTTTTTTACTCTTTACTTTTATTTTCACATATTGTCAGTGTTAGCCTTGCATGATAACGTAAAGAAAACAGAGGAAAGAGAAATCTTGATGGGCATTGAGATTTATACACCCATGACTTTAAAAATGTGATTTGGCTGGTTTCTCAACCACCCTATCTGCTTCTTGCAGAATGGATTCCCATATTGCCATTTCATAAGTGAATGCAGTGATTAGGCTTTACTATACTCTTTTCAGATTATAAGCTGTTTTTTAAACTTTCTTCCCTAAATGTGGCTAATGAGCTTCAGTGCAACCAGGAAGAGTGCGCTCTCAAGTCTCCATGAAATCCGCCTTTGCAGGTAGTAGAAACATGAGAAGGGGCTCACCAGCAGATCTTAATGCCTGAGAGGCCCTGTATGGGAGGGAGGGAGGAATTTTTACTCAGCCTTTCTCTTTGAAAAGGACCCAGGGTGGGAGGGAGGGAGGGAGGGAAGGAGGGATTTTTACTCAGCCTTTCTCTTTGAAAAGCACCCAGGGTGACTTACAACAATGAAGGACAATATTTAAAGCTGAAAACAATGAGTATATAACTGTGGTTAACATCATTAAAAAGTGATATTTAACAATTATGAACAACGAATAAGGAGGCATCTTACATAAATTAGCAGACAATATTAAGGCAAAGATCAGTAAGTATAGAAAAGTGTTTAAAATGTCACTTTGTGAGAAAAACACAAGTAACAATCCAATCAAAGCAGTAATGCATAACAATCTGTTTAAAAATCACACATAGCCAGCTGGTTACTGAGGGAAGGCTTGCCTGCAGAAAAAGGTTTCTGCCTGCTTGCAGAAGGATAGCAAAGATGAGTCCAGTCTGACCTTCTATGGGAGAGAGTTCCAAAGTCTGGTCGCAGAAACAGAGAAGGCTCTCTCCTGTGTACCCATCAGAGACACCTATGAAGGTGGTGGGACTGAGAGAAAGCCTTCTCCTGATTATTTTAACACTCAAGATGGGAGATACAGTCTTTGAGAAAGCTTGGACCCAGGCCATTTAGGGCTTTATAGGTTAAAAACAGCACTCTTACTTGAACAATCAGGATTCTGAACCCAAATTGTATAAGACTTTATAAGTCATAACCAGCATTTTTAACTGTGTCCAGAAAAGGACTAATAGACTATGTTGAAAGGGAGTCGAATGTTTCCTTTAACTTGCCGCAGTCAGCAGTGTGACTGCACAATTTTGGACAAGCTAAATTTTCCAAACAGTCTTCAAAGGCAGCCCTGTCTACTCCAGTAATTCCATTGGAATGTAATTCAGGCATGTGTCACTGCAATCAAATCAAATATCTCCAGGCACAACAATTTTAACTATGTCAATACATTTCAGGCCACTGTGCTAATCTTAGAAGTCTATCAAGGAGTATACTTGAGCTACAAATCTGAGTTTTCAGGGGAAATTTAACCCCATTCAGCCCAGGCTGAATCTTATTCCCTGATCTGGCTTTCAACTGACCAGGAACACCTTTGTCTTGACTATATTAAGTTTCAGCTTGTTCACACACACCCTCCAGTCCAATACTAACATTAGACACTGTAGTAACAAAATAGATTCATTGTATTTAGATGGAAAGGTGAAATAGAGTAGGGTACCACCAGCATTTCAGTGGCACTGAATACTGAAACTCCAGACAACCTGTCCCAGTCTTCTTTTTTGCATATGTTAAATAGCATAGGGGACACAAGATGGAGCCCTGAGGGACACTATATGTCAACAGCCGAGGTTGGAACAGGAGTCTCCAACACCACTTTTCTGAGATTAGAACTCCAAGAAGGACCATGCCATTATAAAATGGTGCAACCAAATTCCATCCCGATACTGAAACTCCAGACAACCTGTCCCAGTCTTCTTTTTTGCATATGTTAAATAGCATAGGGGACACAAGATGGAGCCCTGAGGGACACTATATGTCAACAGCCGAGGTTGGAACAGGAGTCTCCAACACCACTTTTCTGAGATTAGAACTCCAAGAAGGACCATGCCATTATAAAACGGTGCAACCAAATTCCATCCCAGAGAGATGACCCAGAAGGATACCATGGTAAATGATATTTAAAGCTTCTGAAAGAGCCAGCAGAAGCAACAGGTGCATACTCCCCCAGCTGGTTCCTGTTGTAGTTCATCCACCAATGCATTCAAAGCAATTTGTGTCCCATACCCAGGTATGAAGTCAGGTTGAAATGGATCTCAATAATCTGTTTCATCCAGGAATTTCTGGAGTGGAGAGGCCACTACATGCTCAGACATGTTGACTAAGAAGGGAATACTGGAGACTGGCCAGCAGTTATTCAGTATGGTTAGGTTCAGAGAGTACTTTTTCAACAGTAGACTTACAGCTGCCTCATTTAGGCAGATTGGAATCCTGGCTTTCACCTCTGTTTACTCATTTAGCCATCCTTAATCCATGAATACTGGGCAAGTAAGAGCCAAAGTGATGGGTTGTACCTCACATCTCACATGGACTGATAAGGATGTGTTTGGTCATAGCATGAAGAACTTCATCAGGAGGGCTTTAAACTGAATTGGAAGTGGGGAAGGAGATGCAGACTCAGAGGTAAAGACAGATGAATTCTTATGCACAATGAGAAAAACAGAGAAAGCACTCTAATAGGATGCAGTAATAGTTTGCATGAAAATGTATGAAGAAAAGCAGACCACTAATTGCAGTCTCTGGTACCCCTATGTGAATGCTGGGATTATGGAGAACAAACAAGAAGAACTGGAAATCTTAGTTCAAGGAAGTAAATGTGACTTGATAGAGTTAATTGAAACTTAGCAGGAGGACTCCCAAATGGAATACAGCGATTGATGGATATGAATTGTTCAAAAAGAATGGAAAGAATAGAAAGGTGTCACGCATTTGACAGTAGAAATACGCAGAGTTATGAAGACACTTACAAGTTCTTCTTTTGTTGCAAGATGGTTGTATTTACAAGTATTTACAGATATTTACAGGCAGGCATCTCAACAGCATGGCAGGAACTCTTTATACAATCGGGCATAATGCATGGCAGCAAGTGGTAAAGGAGGAAGAGAAAGACACAAAGACACAGTCCACTTATATACATGTACATGGCATTTTTAGTCCAATCAGAAGACAGATGACTTCATCCTTTGCACCTGGTCTTCTTCTGGTTTCAGGACATTGCATCATCTCCAGAGTGATTCAGCATTCTCACATCTGTGCACCATGGCAGCTCGTTAATGAAACACTTATACATGTTCAGGCCTACAAAATTTCTATATTCTGACAAAAGGGAGGTAGAGTTGCACTCTATGTCAAAAGTACATATTCTTGCACAGAAATACAAGAGGATGAGCTTTTTTGTCCCATCGATAGCATCAGGATTAATGTAACTGGGGTGAAAAATAAGAGGAACTTGGTAATTGGAGTCTACTACCAACCATGTTATACTGGAGTTTTTTTATTTCAAAGGAAACAAAAGCTGGGCATAGCCACGTGTGTATGCTGGATTTTAGAAAAGCCAATTCTAATAAACTCAGAATAATGATAGGTAAAGCATTATAGTAGGAGATCATATCAAGAAAAGGAGTCCAAGATGGGTGGGAATTCTAAGGGCACAACTACAAACAATTCCAACAAGAAAGAAAGAAAGAAAGGAAGGAAGGAAGGAAGGAAGGAAGGAAGGAAGGAAGGAAGGAAGGAAGGAAGAAAG